AAGGTCTCCATGCAGACAGGGTCAGGAGCTAGAGCTCGAGATCGTTCTAGCAAATTTACTGAGCTCTGTAAAGCAATACTCCAACGGCTCTGTACGAAAAGATGTCGTTGACATTATTATTTATATATAGTATTTTGAAGTAAGGAAAAAAGCACCATTTTACGTAAAATAAAAAGACTCACGCAGGCTTTGGTCCTGTCTAGAAATGACAGCAGCCTGAGTGAGAAGCAGTTTGGCCCTTGGGGAGCAGGGAAACAAGGGGACATACACGCTCTCACTGGGAGGAAGGTGAGAGGGACAGAGGGTGCGGGCAGCGACTTAACAGGGCAAACAAGGAGACCTGGCGGGAAGGGCCTCTGAGAGCAGCACTGCGAGGCCAGTCTGGGGATGGAGACACCTGCTTCACGAGAACAAAGGTGGGTGTGTGGCACTGTCAGGACACGTCTCCAGGACAGGGGCGCTGGCCAACAAAAAAGGGCAGTGTTCAGACTGAGAGGATCCTCTGCTTGCTACGGCAGCGTTTCCTCCGCAGACCCGTCCACTGCAGAGGAAGGCTCTGACAAGTAGCAAAGCGGCCCTTTTTCTCCAGGAACTGCAAGCCAACGAGGACAGAAAAGCCGCAGTGACTGCTCCTTCGAGGGATGACGAACAGGCGGTTTCTTGGATGCTACACTTCACAAGAGGTACGTATGCCCCCCCCCCCAAAAAGCAAGAGTAGAGTTCCCTGCCCAGATGTATAATTGGGCAAGGGCTACCCCATGAAAAGCACGAGTCTGTCTACATGGGCTGGATTCCTGAACTACGGCTTGGAAGGGAAGGGCACAGAGCGTCACCAGGAACTGGCTCACAAGGGTTAGTCATCTGAGGCGAACACATGCTAATTACATTTCACAGGATGAGGGGGAACAGCCTAGAATCCAGAATGCGAAGTTTGGAAAATCTCTCACCAAAACTTACTATGAGAGCCTGCAGCCAGGGAGGGGAGAATTGCAAAGACAGCCAGCAGAGAAACAGCGAAGAGCACAAAGGGTATCATTCACCAAGAGACTCGCCCTCGTGTCCGAGTTCATCAAGCCGTAAGGAGACAACAGAAGCTCATGTGTACCAAGAACTTAAGGGCTAAAACCAGAAGAGGGTGAGCTAATCACGAAAGCAATTTATCACATTTTCGATGTTTAAGCACATCGGCCAACCCACTAGGTCAACATGTCTTTTATTGGGAAAGGCAGCATCTCTGAACCTGGGATGAAGGACACTTGAACATAATGTATGAGCAGAAGGACCAAATGGAGAAGCATAATTGAAATAATCGTTGGACTGCTTAAGAATTTCTCAGAACTTCGAAAGAAAGAAGGATCTGGGCCTGTGGCTATAGGGCTGTAGGAATGGTCTTCCATCCAGCTCCTCCTTCAAGAGGACTTTGTCGGCCTGGGGGCTGTGGCTTTTGGGCAGTGTAGCCCAGGCACACCCATGCCAGGCTGGTTCTCAAAGCCCTATCAGTGAGGGCACCAGACAACCAGGACACCAGCAGGTGGAACTCCCCAGAGATTGGGGTCCAAGGGGCAAGACGTTTAGACGGGAGTCATGGTAAGACACTCCACTGCTCGACACGCGGCGCAGCAGGTGCGCGCACTCCCTGCCCTAGACCAAACAGCTCTTCCTCTCCCACCGTGCATTCTCGAGCAGCAGCATGGTGGGGGGTAGGCCAGGAGAGGAAGCATCGACGAGGTACAAAATCAGGAACTGACATCTTTGGGTTTTTAAAACAAAAATTCAAATCTAGGAAGTGAGAACATAAAAAAGGGAAAAGAATTAAATCTGAATCCATGGACAGAAAAATATGGCTTACTAACCCCCCCTCCATTTTGCATACAATTTTATATGAGAAAAACCAAAACCAAAACCCAATTCATCACAACGCAGTCCAAATGTTTGCAACCGAAGATTTATGAAAATACCTCAGTTAAAATCGCTTAAAAAAAATAAAATAAAAAGGAAACCAGCAAGCTTTTGATCATTCCTTTCTAAATAAAACTGGCAGATCTCCTCTCAAACGCACTGAACAGTATTCCACACAACGTGCTCGGAACTCAGATTTATTGATTTCCACGGTATGGACTTTAAAAATGGTATGAAGCTGACTGCCAGAAAAGGGAACCGGTGATTTTAAGTTAAAATTAAGCTAATGGTGAAAGTACATCACCTCTGGCTTCAGTCACCACATCACCTTAGAGTGGATATAGGTTTTTTGTTTGTTTTTGAACAAAGTCCCAGAACTCTGAAATCCAGGGATGCTGCAGGCCTCTCCCAGCAATGTCCTTCACTTTGGGTCAGTCTCCTGGGCCAGAGGTGAAAGTGCTTTCAAAAATACTGCCACTTCCCCAGCACAGTGTCTTTGATTGCATCCACATATTGAGTTGGGACCCAGTACACCCAGTAGTAAGAGGCTTCCGTGGGGCCCAACTGAAACGCCTGGAAGGGAAAAAGGAAAACCAAGCGGTACTTCAGAGGCTGGGAGACGGAGCAGGCAGTGCGACAAACATGGGGGCTGGGGGTGGGGTGGGACTGAGAAGGAAGGTACCTAAGGGAAGGGGAAACACTGTGCACACAGGGAGTATTCTCCTGTACCCCGCCCCCCAACATAGGTAGTGGGAGAGTTAAGCATAGCCGAGCCTAAAGCAGTGGCTCCCAAACTTGGGTGTGCATGAGAAGCATCCGGAAGGCTTGTTAGAACAGACTCGTTGGGCTCCACCCCCTAGAGCATCTGATCTGGGAGGTCCACGGCCGGAGAATCTGCATTTCTAACAAGCTCCCGGGCAATGTCATGCTACTAATCCAGAGACCAGTTTGAGAACCACTGCCCTAGAAAAACTGTCACACGTGCACAAAGAAACAGATCTGAAATGTTCACAGCGGCACCATCACGACTGGTAACGACCTGGAAACAACCTCCATCTCCATCCGTTAGGAAATGCACAATTAAAAGGGACATGGCCTATTTGTATGAATGCGGGATCCTTTTCCAAAGGTATGAACCGGAGCTACAGTTGATAGAGACAAATCACAATGCTGAACCAAACACAGCTGGTTGCACAACAATACATACCGTGATACCTTTTATGAAAACTGAAAAAAACACAAAACAGTGCTGCACCTTGTTCATGGGTTTATACGAACACAAAGCAGAGAGCTGGGAAGGATCCACATGAGAAATCATGCTCATGGTAATGGGGGAGGGGAAGACAATGGGGACGTATTCATTGTGGGTAGATTTTCTTTTATTAAAAAAAAAAACAGCTTAAAGCAATTCACAGAATATTTACGACAGTCATTTCTTGGTGATGGATATCTGAGTTTGTTACAGTCTTCTCTGTTCTCTTCTGCATTTTTAAACATTTCCCTAAGAATGAAAAGCACCGCCATCCCTCCCTGATGTGACCTATGACACCATTAATCTAGCTGCTGAAATGACACCTGCAAAACGAGCAGAGTACTTTCATTCAGAGAGAGGTCAAGGTGCCACTCCACGGCGTTTAGTGAAGAGAAGGGACTATCAGCACTCCTCTCTGCCAGAAATGACCCGAGAGAAAAAAGCATTTGAACTGAGTATTAAAGCATTAGCCATCCAAACTGATTTCCTAAAGGATGTCTGAGATGGTCCCCTCAACCTACTGGGACTCCCACTCACAGGGTTGTTTGCAAAGCGGGGCTGCGAATGCCACAGGGCAACATGGGGGAGATGAACATTTCAAAAGGGAGCGAAGGGGCCCAGCTGACAATATCTAGAAGCCGACTTTGTAAACGGGAAAAATAAACGAGTAGGCAGAACAAATCTGTCTGCAATCCTTTAAGGAGGAGGGGCGGAAGGACAGCAGCCCCAGTGACGCTGTCACTCTCAGGACACCCAGGAGCCTGCAGTACCGGGACTGCAAGCCCAATCATGGACTGGCTTCAGCGCCTCTGAGTGGACAGACACCAACAGGGCAAAAGAGGGGCCCGGCCATCTGCACAGAGACCTCCCTACCACCAAATCGCACTTTCCCTGGGATCTTCCAATGCCTCCCTCTGCTGGGGACCTTTGTAACCCCAATGCACAGGTCAAAGCACTAGCTGCTCCTCAGTCCTGCAACGGGGCTGACACACCCATAGTGCTGGTGGCCACATGCTAAAAAGTCTGCCCCCTCGGCTGGAGAAGGCGGGCAGCCCTTGCCCCATCCTACAGCTGGCTCCCGGCAGGTCCCTGTCGGAGTAACTAAACTTCACTCCTAAAGTGGCCCCTCCCAACCGTGCTGGGAAAATTCGGGGGCATGCCCGAGCACTGCACTTCACTCCATGCCCTGCATCCCTGAACTCTCGGCTTTGCTCCGCACAAACCTGGGAAATGCCTCCAAACATTCTATCTCAAGAAAGAACGGCCTGCTCTCTTCAGAGTAAACCTCCGTGCGGAATGACGATCACAGACCCTGTCCTCCCCACGATGTCCTCGGCCACCTGGGAAGAGCACCACCACCACAGAAAGGGGACCATCTGTGTCCTCACAGATGCCAAGGCTAGTGGGAGATTTTGTTTTATATGCAAGACAAAACTTAAGATGAAAACCCACAAGCCAATCCTCCTCTTTGTGTTTATTTTCCTGATCTAAAGACAAAGATAATACAAATGAGAGGAGGATAAAGCTAGGAAAACATATCCCCTTTAAACTGATTGGGGGGCGGGTGTTGCAAAAATGAACTTAGATCATGGATTGAGTTCTAAGGAGATGAAGAAAATGTGAGGGTCTTAAAACTGTGCGTCTTCGGAATACTGAGTTTGCTTCTTCGGTTAAGAAAGCTTCGTTAGAACTCCGGTCCCTGCTAGATGAGCAGAAGCGGGAGTGCAGTGAGAGGCTAAACCACGCCGGGCTACTTACCATCATGTGGTAGTCTTCGTGTCCTTCGATAGGTTCACTGACCACATTTTTAATGGAGCCCATGGGCAATTTCTCAGTCCGCTCTAGTTGAGAGGGATTACAGAGATTACTCAAAGGCCCTCCTGTCCACTCCTGTGACTCAGCAGTCCCTTATCAGGGCTGGCGGCTCTGGGTTCTACCGTAATCTCAAGTCTCCCACGTGCTCTAAGGACGATGGGACAGGGTCGTCTGACCACCGCACCCAGGGCTCTGCTTGGCAGATGTGAACTTCTTGGGAGCAAACGGGAACAGGATTGGCCATAGCATATATTAAAGGCCTCTGAGAGCAGAGATAGTGCTTTCCTGTGTGATTTTCTTAAAGTCTGGCAATTTATAAACACCCAAGGATTTCCACTGCAGCCTTCTTGCCTGAGCCCAGCACTGGCTAAGGTCTTTGGCACCTGGGGGAGGGGCAGTCAAGAGGACCGAGAACAGAGGCAACAGCATGCCCCTGTGGCTCGCACAGGCAGGGAGTGCTTGGGGTTTCTACTAGTCTCTAGCCCATCCTCATTTGCCCTCCCCACAACCCTTCCCTCTCCCGACCCCCCAACCCTCCACATACGCACACCTGAGGAAGTGCTCTTAAAACATTTACAACCTCTTGCGATCAACCCTCAAGGTATCACTTATCACAGGGGGGTCAGAAGACACTTTGCAGCAACTTCAAGGGTGGCAGGTAAGAAAGAGGCGGCAGTGAGGGATGGCAGGAGTGAGAGGAGCCTGCAGGAAGTGAGGCCAGTGTCGCAGGGCGGGGCATGAAGGCAGGAGGGGGCGCAGTGTCTGTGCAACAAGAACCCACCCCCCAGGAGCGGCAGACACAGCAGGGACCGGGACGTTATCAGCAAAGTTAAATCAAGTCGGAAAAAATCATGACAGCCTTTGCAGAAAGAAAATTCTGGAAAAGAGAATCGGCCAATGGATGAGGAGGGGAAAAAACAGACTGGAATTTAGAGGCCTGGGCTCTAGTCTAGCTGGTGACTGGAGATATTTTACTTCCATTCCATGGGCCTTGGTGTCTGAAAAATGGGGGGTGGGGAGAATGGACGTGAAGGTGTCCATTCTGGCTGTGACTTTCAGTGGCTCTCAAACAGTGACCCACAGGCAGGATCTGACTGGCAGCTGTTTTTAAGACTGAAACTTTTAAAAACACCAGCCACCTTGAAAGGTCCCGAGATTTCACACAAAAAGATACATTTCTGGCTTCTCTTGAAAACGCGATCCTGGGCCCACATTCCTGAGTGACAGCAATGAGCTCGATCAGGCTGGACGCCCCTCCGCACTGGGCACATACTCCCCCGGCCGCTTCTCCCTGCCACGTTCCCTGCCCGAGGCTGTGAGGCTCCCTGCCATGCTCCCACGGAGACAGCTGAAGCTGCAAGGAGCCGCCCCTGAATGTCACGCTGTGAAGCGCCCCACCGGGAGAGGGGCCAAGCAGCTGTCATCCCACAGCAGCTTCTTGCCAGCGGAAAGATGAAGCCGGTGGCTGGTGGCCAACTCCCCAGAACGGGCTGTCCTGCTGGGAGGGTGCTCAGGACGCCCAGAGGACAAGATTCCCTGCCAGCAAGAACACTGCCTGCCACACACGGCTACAGTGGTCTGCGTGGGAGCGAAAATCTCAGCCCCTGCGCCCATGAAGACGGGACTCTTGGCCATGCTCTTTCAGCAGGCTGGTGAGAAAGGACACTTTCCACAGCCCGGAAACCCCAACCTATCCAGATTCTTTCGAGTGCTGCCTTGGTGCCCAAGCGGTAAAGCAGCAGCTCCTCCGAGCTGAGAGAACACCTCTACCCCGGGTACGGGAGGGTCCACTTCGGGCCTGCGGTGAGGACACGCTTCCTAACACAACCTCCTAACACAGAGACATTCCCCGAAGAACCAATGAGCACCTACAGACGTAGTCCTCACTGGCCTCCCTGGCCCACAGGTAACTTCCTGCATCAGCCTTAGCAGCTACCTTCCAGCAGACTGCCCGGAAGAGAGAGCGCAAGTGGAGGAAGAGGCAGAACTGGGGAAGTCAGTGCCACGACGGAGAACTAAGCAAAGTCGCCTGCGAAGTCACAGCCGAGGAAGGGTCTGACAGACGCAGGGCAGCTCACGGTGGATGAGCACTGATCGTGTGACCCCGGAGAAGGGTCCAAAGGCCGGTGGGAAGACCCAGGAAGCCCCTACATGTTCTGCAACGCTTGCTCTGACCATGCAGTTAGAGTTGAGGGTGAAAGGAAGGAGATGTAGCAGATTCTCATAAAATTGTGAGAAAACTCCTGCGGTTTGGCATTTTGGGCTATGTTTACTTATTTAAGGACCAGCAGAGTGACAAGTGAGAATACCTGCGTTGGCACTCGGGATGACAAAAAGCCTCACGCCCCACCGCCCCGCTGATTACTTCCTGTAAATCTGGGGTCCCACGCGAAGCAGAGTCATACCAAATGGCCTGTCCCTGAAACCAGTCAACCTTACATGACGGGACCCCCTATACCTCTCTTTAGCATTTACCTCGAACACTGAATACCTACAGTGCTGGCCAGAACCAGGTGAATTAGTCATGTTCGGTTCCCTCCGGGAATCTAACAGGGGGACAGACAAGTCAGAGAGTAATGAGTGCTCTGGGGAGGTAAATGGAGCGTCCTATGATCAGAAGCGGCAGCAATTCATTTGGAGGGTGGGGAAGGCGTCGGGGAAGGCTTCGTTAGGAGAGGACACTTAAGTAGGGCCTCTGGAGATTTTATTAACAACGAGGAATGGGAAGAAGGCATTCCAGGTAAGTGCCCGGCAGGAGCGAAGATGTGAGGCCGTGCGGAGCACGGTGGGAACTGCAGGCTGGTGCAGCTGAAGCCCCCAGCGTGTAATGAGGCAAGCGGGGCAGGAGGCTGGGTCTAAAATCTGACAACACTGGACACTACGTTTAGGCATCTGAACTTGGCTCTTCCAGGCCAAAGGTTTCTGAGCATGGGAACCAGGGAGGAAGATGGGTAGGACAAAACAGAACACAGACAGGGCAGGGAAATAGGTTAACTTGCTTTAACAAACCTTTAAAGATGCTAGGAGTCTTAATTGGCACAACAGAGTGGCAAAAAAAAGGGACACAGATAATTCTGGAGTGTCACTGACAAGACTTTGAACCATCTGGGGGAATAGAAGGGGAGGAGAGTCAGAGACAATTCCCAGCCAACAGCAAGCAGCAAGCCCGCCCCACCAGGCACAGGCAGGGGTAGGTGGAGGCAGGCAGAGCACAAACAGGCAGGGAGGGAGGGGCGGGTCCACGGTACCAGGAAAATGCACCCAGTACGGGGACAAACTCTGACCTCCAGGGGCCAGGCAGGTGACATTTCATGAACAAAGCTGGCTCCATACGAAGCCCACGGACAGTGAGGACTGTGACATGGCTCATCTGAACCTACTACTTTGGCTCCAGCCGATCGCTGCCATGTGAGAATGCAGGTCCAGAATGCCTACATCTTTTGACTTTTTTTTTTCTTTCTTTTTTTTTTTTCAAGAGAAGCCCAAAAACCCCCACATCAGATCAAGTGAAATCTCTCTGATTTTTACATAATGTGTGTAAATCCAAAAAACTCTGGTCTGGGGGCCAGACCTGGCCCTTAGACTACACATCTGGGACCTAGTTTTGGGTACAAGTGAAGAGCCACTGTTGATGGACTGGCCCTGACATAAGACTGAAAAGAATGAGGGAAAAGGGTCCAAACAGAAGGTGAGCATCTAAAAGCAAAGACAAAAAGCCAGGGGCACGCAAAGCACAGTGAAGAGAGAGATTTCAGGAGAAGCACAGTCGCACCCGTGACCGAGTGCTGCTGGGTGCCCGAGGCAGCGAGCCGGGAAGAGGCCGAGAGCAGGAACCTACCTTTAGTGCCAATCCACAGCTGGTCTTGTTCCAGCTTGAAGGTGAGTCTCACTTTGCCTCCGGACTTGTTGTACATGCCAGATAAGGGTACCGTTGGCAGGTGCTCCTGGAGGCACAGGAGCACAGTGAGAGACAGGGACCAGAAACAAAGACAGGGAAGGACAAGGGACAGGACATGAGGACGTGATCACAGGAACCTCAGGGAGTCAGAAGGTGGGCCTGGTGCGTTTTCAGAGCTGTCACAAAGGAATCTGGCTTACCTGGGCACCCTTAACAGATGGCATCACATCTTCGGGCTTTCCTTTATCCAACACTTTCCTGTGTTGCTGGAATGTAAGTCAGAAGAAATGATAAATGAAATAGCTGACTATGTGTTAGTCATATTACTACCTTTCTGAAAGAGGAAAAAAGCCTTCCTATTTCGGTTCAAAAGCTTTCAATGTGTACAGATTATGCGTCCTTTGACATTAAAGGGCAGTGCTGTCTGGCAGTGATGTCTCCGTTGACAGAAATATCCTACCTCTGTGCTGCCTAAAACAACAGCCACAAGACACTTGGGTCTAGGAAGCACTTGAAATGTGGCTAATGTAACTAAGGAAGTAAGTTCTCGATTTTACTGAATTTTAATAAGCTTTATGTGGCTGTTATATTAGACAGCAAAGTTCTAGAGCAACTAAGGTTTCCAGATTGCGAGTTCAAATAAACTATTTCCTCCTCTGACCAAAAAAATCGCCACTGAAAGGACGAAACATTGGGCTAAAGAGAACGGCAAATGGTGGTGGTGTTCTAGTAGGTACAAAATGACAGCCATTTCTGTCAACTTAAACTTCCAAAGAAACTTAAGACGATGCTGGTGATCAACCTAACGGCCTACAAGGGGCATTTCTTCAGCAAATGGAAACTCAGACTACTGTAGAATTCTTCCCCACTGCCCCGCCCTCAACCTCAGCTACACAGGCCAGGAGAGACCTATTTCCAAGATAAATGCCAATTACTCCACAGACTGACATTAACAAGTCTCTGATCCTGTGCCCAACTTCCCCCCGCACCCCCGGGTTTGAGGCAGCTTGTTAAGGGTTCTCATTAGGCTCATGGCTCCCTAAAACAGCTCTTGAGCAGCCCAAATGCCTTAGCGTGTCTCCTCTCCGCTGGTGGCTTTATAGGTCACTGGTCACTTTACCAAATGGTAAAGCTGAAACTATGGGGCAGCAAGTGAGTGAAGGGGAACAACGGCCACCAAACTGAAGCACCGCAGGGTCATGAGCCAATTCAAACCCTCCCTGGCAGGGCAGAAACCCTCTGGCGGGGATAGACTCAGTATTGCCAGACTGCTAGCAAAGGGTCCCCATAGGGATCAGCCTCAGATTCCTGAGTAAGGTGACAAAAAGCCAGGAGAACAGGTCCCTCTCATTAGGCCACGTTAAGGCCTCATAACTAGCATCAATGAAACAGAGCAACAGACATTAATAACTTAATTTGACTCCTACCTCCCAAGCATCTTTTGGAAGAATTGTCCCTGTGCTGTGGAAAACAGTTTTAAGGCTATTAAGCTACCATCAGTAACTCAAAAGCTATGTTTAAGAAGCGTGTAATATTTAGGGGCACCTGGGTGGCTCAGTGGGTTAAGCCTCTGCCTTCGGCTCGGGTCATGATCTCAGGGTCCTGGGATCGAGTCCCACATCGGGCTCTCTGCTCAGCGGGGAGCCTGATTCCTCCTCTCTCTGTCTGCCTCTCTGCCTACTTGTGATCTCTGTCAAATAAATAAAATCTTAAAAAAAAAAAAAAAAAGAAGCAGCGTGTAATATTCCAAGGGCGTGACCAGTGGGGACATTCACTCACTTCTGACATACTCACATTTGATAATTTCATGTATGTGGCAGAGGAAACAGGCAAGTGGGAAAAAAAAGTCAATTGTTACATTCTGACCCCATATTTGGGGGTGAAAGGGTCCAAATGAATACCTTTCAGATGTTAACATAGATTTATAACTCCTCATCTAAAACCTTATAAGCAGATGTTCTAGATTATAAGAACCAAGTCTTACAGACTTTATAAAAACAATACCACTTAAAATATGTTATATGTTATCCTCTCTAGATCTGGGGCGGTACATTGTCATTCAAACACATTAATGTTCCTACAGCAAAACATGGACATTCACACTAATTCTGGTCAAGTTTTAACGCCTGGTCAGGTTTTGGAAGCACATAAAGAGGATTACGGGCCTGTAACAAAACTGTATCCTTCTCACACTACTAGCCATATGCCTTGGTGCCTAGAATCACTAAAACTGATCTTGGTTCGAACTGTTCTAAAAAAAAACAAACAAACAAACAAACAAAAAAAAACAAGAAAAACAACAACAAGCAAAAAAACCCCAAAGTGACCTACTGTGCTCGGGACACAGGTTAAGTTGAGACTATCTGTTTTCCTGGAAAGCTGCTAGCCGTGGCCAAGAGACTCCATGACAATAAGTGGGGTTTGCTGGGTGGTAAGGTTGCAAGTGATGGTTCTTCCTACCAGTTCCCTCTGCAGTAAAATACTCTCACTTTTCCTAATTACAGAAAGAATTTTAAGGGCTACAGTGAGCACAAGACAAGGCTGGATCTCTTCCACCCAAAATGAGCAACAGGATATAAAAAAAAAAAAAAAAATCAGGCCCCCATTTCATGAACCAGGAAGGGAAAAAAAAAAAAACCCCAAAGCCAAAGCCAGTATAGTTATGTTCCTAGTCAGCTTCATTAGGCTTCCTGAAAAAGTCAGCTTCAGAGGAAGTCTGAAAGCTGCTGAGCTCTATGGCTATCCAGAAATGGCTTGTTGACTTGGGGGAAGCCACGGACCAAAACACAAAGGTAAGCAACTTGTACAAAATGGGGGGTGAATTCCCCTGGTGGCATTTTTCCCTGGCACTAGAGGAGAGAAACCCATGTCAGATTCCTTTCAATACCTGGTCTGAAGCCTGCCTGTACAAAGGCCATATCCTAAAGTAAATAGACTTGAGACACACTGACCCGCCGGATGAGACAAAGTTGCAAATCTCAGGTAGTTGTCACCTCCACTCAACAGCCAGCCGCACCCAACGCTGCCATAAATTTCCATCACGGACCCTGTCCGAAAAGGAGCTTATTCTAGGGAGACTATAACCAGCCAAGGCTCCAGAGGACAAAGCCTCAAACTTCCCAGGACTAGCAGTCACATGATGGACTCACCTTCTGCCTGCAGAGCGGCTCCTTCTTGTTCTCTTCGGCCTTTGCACCCTGCTGGGCAGCATCTTTGGGTGTGTTTACGGCTAAAACATCATTTATCGTGGAGCCAACTACCATGATCTTGGCTCCGCTGGTCACTTTTATTTCTCTCAACGTCTTATCCTCAGGGACGAGTCCCTTATACATGACTTTCTGCATGGCAGGGGGGAGACCTTGGGAAAAGGACACAATGAAAGGGAGGGATGAAAAATGTATCTGGGGCGCCTGGGGGGCTCAGTGGGTTAAAGCCTCTGCCTTCAGCTCAAGTCATGATCCCAGGGTCCTGGGATCAAGTTCCACATCGGGCTCTCTGCTTGGCGGGGAGCCTGCTTTCCCCTCTCTCTGCCTGCCTCTCTGCCTACTTGTGATCTCTCTCTGTCAAATAAATAAATAAAGTCTTTAAAAAAAAAAAAAAAAGAAAGAAAAGAAAAATGTATCTGGACCAGAACCGTTCGGCAACAGACCTGGAAATGAATACTGCTCCAGCACCTTTGTGTGCTCAGGCAACTCACAACCTCTCTGAGCCGGTTTCCAAAATTTTATAATTGTGATGGCAGGATTTCCTTCTGCGTAGACTTCTTTTAAGGATTAAGAAATAAAACAACATTTAGGGCAGTGTCAGGCATTAAGTCATCATTCGATAATGTTAGCTATCATTCATTCCAAGTTGTTCCTCAAGCCTCTGATGACACAAATACTGAGAATCCACAGGCCTCAGTTATACAGAAACCAGAAAGGATGAAGTTCTTGTTTTTACCATGTGCTCACAGGCTACAGAAAGCAAGCTTAAAAAAAGTCATTTCAGTTGGTAAAGTGTTGTAAACGAGACAAGACTAAAAACTAAATGTGAGTATCTGTGAAGGGCCCAGCACCAGAGTCACCAGCAATGTTTCCTAAATTTCCCTTATCAGAATTACCCAAGATATTTGCTAAAAATAAATTCCTGGCCACATTCCAGATCCATTGAATCAAACTCTTCAGGGAAAAGGGTTAGGGGCTGTAAATTTAACATGTGCCTCAGATGATTTTCATTAGAGATGTCTGGAGCAGCACTGATTGGAAGCCTGGGCCTAAGAGTCAGACCCGGGCCTGAATCTCGGCTCAGCCACTTTCTGGCTCTATCACCTTGGGTCTCATCTTCCCCATCTGAATAATGGACATACTAGTACTTACTCCGGAGAATTATTCCCAGCATTGAGGGAGCGGATGCAAAGAGAGTGGCCAGCGCGGTGCCTAGCACAGTGCGAGCACTAGAAGTCGAAAGGCGCGGTGGGGAAGGCTGCCTGTCGCTGGACATTACCACTGCGATTACCTGTAATCGAGTGAATCTTCTGTTTTAGCTCGGAGCCTGTGCTATCCAAGGGGAATTTCACGTCGTGCTTAGTCTTATTCCAGATGATCTTCAGGTCCACCAGCTCCCTGCCTGCGCCGCCGCCCGCATCCTCGCCGTTGCTGACCGAGGCCTGGGCCGCAGGGTCCCCAGGGGGCTGGGCCGGGGCCGGCTGCAGGCTACCTCGAGCCGCGCAGGAGTCCTCCGCTGCCGCCTCCGCCCCGGCTTCGGCCTCGACGCAATTCAGGGGCCGCGCGGGGACCTCGGTCGCCACCGTCTCGGCCTCCGTGTCCATGCCAGGTTCCTCCATGCCTGCAAGGGGGTTAGGGGGTGGGCGCTCGCCGCAGGTTGGGCCTGGGACTGAACCCTGCTCGGGCGAGGCCGGACCTCCGCTTCCGAGCCAGGCTACTCTCCACCGGACCGGGCCGCATCCCCCCCGGGGGCCCGCTTCACCTGGGCCCAAACAGGGCGCTCGCCACCCCCGCCCCACTCACCATCCGGGGCTCCGGCCGCCGCCATGATGATTGTGTACAACACCCACCGCTCCCGCAGAGGCCGCTGGGAAAAAGCGAGCTAGCTGAGATTGGCCCCCGCAGCAGCCCCTAATCTCTCACAGCCTGGCCGGAAACAGGTGGACGTTTCTATGGAGACCCGCCTCCTCCGCTTCCCCCGTCCGGCCCCTGCCACGCTTTAGCTTTCGGGAGCCCAGGGGGGCGGGTCCGGGAGATCGCCCGCTCGATGAGCTCTGCCCCCTAGAGGCCGAGTGGGGTCGCAGCCGCGCTGGGGGGCGTGGACTTGCAAACTAGGAGAACTGCGCCTTTAAGGGGCGGGGCCGAGCCCCCTGTGGCAGAAGCGGATTGGCTGGGAGAGGCCCCGGAAGTGATGCACGGGGAAGCCCACGTGTGCGCTTCCATCCCACATGGCGGTGCTCCTGAAGAGGTTGCTGCAGTCGGCTAGGCACCCTGCGGCCTCGGGCCGGCCCATGGGACGGCGCGATGCCAGCCTGGGCACTGATCCCGGGGCTGTGGTGCGAGTGCGGTTCGCCCCCAGTCCCACAGGTAACCTTGGCGGACGTGACGCTGCAGGTCGATGTCCACCGTCCCGTGCCCGCCCCCTGAATGTTCCCGGACAAATCCCTTCCGGTGGAGTCTGACGGGGGCGGGGGGGTGCAGCGAGACCCCATTTTACAGAGGCAGAAGCAGGTCCACGAGCGGAAATTATTCACATAGCCAGGAAGTTCTTTGTGTACCATCTCTTTAGGTCTCTCCTTCGTGTACTCAGTAAATGTGTATCGAATACAGAATACAGACCGTGTACTAGGTACTGTTCTAGGCGTTGGCATACAGTGGGCACGCACGGCTCCTGTTCTCAAGAAGCCTACACTGTAGTGGCCGCGACAAACAACGTGTAAAAGTAACTACCTTTAGGCAATCACATGTGCCATGTGAGAAATGAAGCAGGGTGGGGACCCGACGGTTAGGTAGGAAGCTCAGAAAGGCCTTGTTGAGGACGTAGTATTTGAACTGAGAACCAAAAGACAAGCTGGCCACCCAGAAGCCTGTAGGAGGAAAGAGGAAGTTGCAGGTGCAAGGCCCTGTGGTTAGTGGTATTGGTGCTCAGCAAGCCAGAGAGTGAGGCAGGGGGCTCATTGTTTACCCTAGTGGAGATCTTGTTAGGGCCTCCCCGCTAGTTCCCCTGGTTTTTTTCTCAAGGAGTCCGCCACCTGCCCTCTCAACACGGAGCGTGCCTCTCATTCTGGACCTTAGGGTCCGCATGTAAGGCTTCCTGTGTAACAAGATCCCAGCTACACAGAGTGACAGGATCTTTCACTGCAGGCAGTCGGGTGCAGAGTGGGCTTCTCAAACCATTGTGACAGGACTGGTTCTTAATTCCCAAATGATTATGGATCAGTATTTTTATAGAACCAATATAAATGAGTAAGAGGGAAAATATTAAAAGCATACAAAATGTGAGCCTATTTTTTATTAGATTCGCCGATACAAAGTTACTGTCAGATTGCTATTAAGTTTCTAAACGTTTATTCTCAGTTTCTGTTCGTGGTTGTGAACTGGCAACAGTTTGCAGACCAGCATTGGTCTGCACCTTCTTTGCAGAGCACTCATAGTAGTTGGGTGCCAAAGCCTGAGATTGTTGGGTCCAGATTGCTGGTTTTGCCACTTCTCAGCTGGGTGACATGGGCAAATTACATAACCTCTCTGAGCTTCCGAGCTTTACCCTCTGTCAAACACGGCTAGTGATGGTACCTGCCTCATGGCTTTGTGTTAATGCAGCTGAGGCACTTCGCAAGGACTGGTACTCCTAGAGCTTAATAAACAATATTCTCTATTATAGTTCTCATTTTCCTTGCTGATTTGCATACAGAAAAGGCTGTTGACTACAGACAGATAAAAGAATTATCAAGCAACTGAGATCACTAATTGCTAAAATTAATGGAAAGCTATACTTCGATCAACATTTAGGTCTCCCAACAACTGTGTAAAGGAGGTTTCCATTTTTTTGTTTTTAATCTCTAACAGATGAGACTAAGCTCAGACCAGTGAAGTAGAGTGCCCAAGGGATAGCAACCAATAAATGGATGCAGAATTTAAATCCACATTTATTTGATTTAAGAGATCTTTCTTTCAATTACCAAACCTCCATCTTCCATCTTGGGGACCACTGATTTTGTGGTAGCTTTGCGATAGCTAGCAGAAAGTCACACATAATCAGTGTTGAATTGGAGTTTACCTGACTACAGAAAAGCCTTTCGTGTCCTGTGCTGCATCCTGTTCCTGTAAATGCAGAGAAGCTCATCGTGGAGATGGGGGTGTGGCCTGGACAAGAGAAGACAGGATAAGGGGAAATGGCAAAATGCTTAATGTGAATCTTTCAGTCAGGAATGATGGAAAGGTAAAATCTTAGGAGTTTGAACTCAGGTGAAGAGAAATACAGTGGAATCAACTGTTACTTTTGCTTAGTGCTTAAGCCCAAACTTCAGATGAAAATCAGAGTATATGCAAAATGTAATTGTATGATATCTTCAGTTTGTAATTATTTTTTTTTTCCACCCAAGCACATTGTTGAATTTGCACACGTTAAGTGCGCGTGTGATATGGTTTCTGTGGATAATCCTCTGCTTGTCCTCATTTGTGTAAAACTTGGCCTTGAAGCAAATCTCAAAATAGAACAGTGGGTGCAGCTGGGGAGAGTTGGAGTCTTTACAACATCACAGGCTGTAAGACATGTCTGCTACTTCCAGGATGAGGGGCTAAGCGAGTGGACCACTCCTGTCCTCTGTGGCCATCTGACTCAGTCCTGGTTAGAAAGATGGGATGGGGTAGCTGTTTTTTGAGCTTTGATACTCCCTGGGACATCCTGTTACAAGCGGGGCTTGCTTGTCAGTTCATCTTCCCTGTCTTGTCTGAGCTGTTCTCTTCTTTTCCCAGGCTTTTTGCACCTGGGCGGCCTCCGCACTGCCTTGTACAACTATATCTTTGCCAAGAAGCACCAGGGGAGTTTCATCCTTAGGCTGGAGGACACGGATCAGACCCGCCTTGTGCCTGGGGCAGCGGAGAATATTGAGGACATGCTGGAGTGGGCAGGTGAGGCAGGCTGGGGAAGGACCCTCCTCCAAAGGGGAAGAGGGAGCAGGGAAAGGAGCCTGTAGGTCTTCTCATGGGGCCCAAGATGGAGATTGAGGACTTCCTGGAGAGATGGGTACATTTGTGCTGCCTTGGGTGGCATGTGCCTACCTAAAACATGCTGAAGCTCCCTGAGGAAAAGCTCCGAGGCTGGCTGTTCTGAGGTTCCTGTTCTTAACTCAGGATTTCAGGTCCTGCTGGGAGCCGACAGGAAACACAGGCCAAGCATAAGATGGAGCTGGAGAGGCGAGGTCTGTAGTGAGCAGGAGAAAGCTCCCGCCCCCTGTTCCCGTGTGGGAATGCTGGCCCAGTTTGTTCAATCTTCTCACTTCCCAGAGGAGCCAGAAAACCAGGTTTTTATTACTTTTTTTTAATGAATACTTACCATTGTTAAACTTGAGCCCAGATTTTTTTTTTTTTTTTAAACCACATTGTGTGAGCCAAACAAAATGTGTGCAGCCTCTAAAATCAGTCTTAGGGGACATTTAATACAGAGGCCTCCTAGACACCAGGAGGACAAGGAGGAGTGTATGTTCCCTGGGTCAATAGTCGTCTGTCTGTCAGGGCAGGTATAACCAGTTAAGCTCCTCAAGGAAAAATACCAAGACTTTTATGAGATGTGTATCTTATTCTCAGGTAAACTATTAACGAGACTTTGGGTTCTCAAAGGGCAGTCACCAATTTCCTTTGTACCTTCTGTCATAGAATGTTATAGTAGATGCTTAATCAGGATTAGTTGAATAGGAGCGTCTGGGTGGCTCAGATGGGTAGGCGTCTGCCTCCAGCTCAGGTCCTGATCCTGGGGCCTGGGGATTGAGCCCCATGTCAGGCTCCCAGCTCACTGGGGCGTCTGCTTCTCCCTCTCCCTCTGCCTCCCTCCCCTGCTTATGCTTTCTCTCTCTCTCAAATGAATAAATAACATCTTTTTTTAAAAAAAACAATTACTTGAATAAAGGAATTCATTCACGAAGATCACTTAACTATAATGAGGGTCCTGTTCCAGCACTGAACAGAGACCAGTGCCCAGTAAATAGGGGAGGACAGATGAACAGATTAATTTCTCCTCGCCACAACATTAAGTGTTGATGAGTGCTGTGGAGACAAGGGTAACAGGTTGGGGAACTGGCAGGGAAGGATGCTGTCTCAGTCAGGGTGGTCTTCACAGAGAAGACGACCTGAAAGCACGAGATTGCACAGTGAAGGGCCAGCCCTGTGGTGACCTGGGCGAAGACTGTTCAAAACAGAGGGCAGAGCAGATAGGAAGGCTCTGCTGCAGAAAAGTGTTGGGTGTGTTAGAGGAGCGGCGAAGACGCCGGTGTGGCCCAAGCACAGTGAGAGGAGCAGAGGGACTGCGGATGTGAAGACGGGTTAGCCAGAGCCAAACCAAGTAGCACCAGGCAGACCAGGATGAAAACTTAGATTTCAGGGTGCGCCTGCTACCCGTCAGGCGCTGTACTAGGCACAAGCGGTACAGTGATGAACAGGTCCCACCCTCTGAGCCCCTGGTGTGGCACAGGTCCGTGAGCGTGGCCTGCAGCGCCTCAGCAGATCTCCCCACACCACCCCCTAGCCTTGTGGTGAGGCAGAGGGAGTGGCTGATTTCTATAGCTTCTTGCTTCAGGAGTCACCCTGTGTTTTTTGTTTTTTGGTTTGTTTTTGTTTTTGTTTTTTTGTGGGGTTTTTAAATTATTGTTACTATTTTGTAATTGACATATAATTCACCTGATAGGAAATTCACCATTTCAAAGTGTACAAATCAGTGGTTTTTTTTAGTATATTCACTATGGTATGCCAGCCATCACCAATACCCAATTTCAGAACATTTCCATCCTTCCAAAACAAAATCCTGTCCTATTAGCAGTCACTCCCTATTCCTGCTTCCTTTCAACCCCTGGCAGTCGCTAATCTATTTTCTGTCTGTGCAGTTTGCCTATTGTGGACATCTCAGGTAAATGAAACCGGATAATACAT